TCCATTAAATTTTTCAAACACAGTTTCAATTTCACACAATTGTGTGATTCTGCCTGACTGATGGTTTTTCTGCCAGTGTCAATGTCCACCTTTTTTTCTCATCAATATTTATTGGTTCTTGCACTTTGAGAGTTTATTACTAGGCCATCCAGCCTAAGAGGCTGAGAGTCCCCAAAACGGGTAGACAGAAAGCTTGACTTGGGACTGTCATAGTTTGAGAGTTTAAAGATAAAGAAGAAATCATAAAATATCCCTCCTGCTCACTCCCCCTCATCCAACCCACTGTTTCTTTTTATCCATTCCCATGGCCCTTAATACTTTCCACATGTCACTATGACAATCTACTCACCATCCCTCCCCCACAGCCACACAACCTCACATGGTCATTTATAGCCTTTGTACTGTCCTATGCTCACCTACCATCCTCCATAACTCCTCATACCCTTGTCTCACTGTATGTCCCGATCATCCCCGTGATCTTTTATAGCCCATACAAGCTCATACCCCCTAAACACCATACTTTGTCCTTCTCTGTCCATGTAAATCCACATAGTGTCCACGTGGCAAACCTCGGATTGTGCTGGCAGTGTCTATTGATGATGTTGCTTTTACGGGAAAAAAACACACTTTTTGGCATTAAGGAAACATTTAATATGTTTACGTTTCTTCAACTAATCCCTTATGAGAATAAACATTTCACTTAAATGCTTAATTCCTTATCAAATAGAAACATTTGTTTGCATAAGCAGTTGGAACTGTCTGTCAAAATGCTCACTTGATAGGCACCCAATTGTGAAAATGATGATTTGAGGAATGAGTCATGCAGCACAAGTACTAGAATGGCTTTTGTGAAGAGGCATTCTGAAACACCCATCGCTTTTCTCCACCTCCGCGTCTTTTTTTTGAAACTGCTCCTTCACAACTTTGATCATTTCAGTGAGTTTATGCAGAAATGTGCCTTTCCCAATCCATCACTATCAAAGAAATAATCTGCCAATCTGTTTTTGTGACCAATATGAATAACCTCTCATTTATCCACATCACACTTCACCCGCTATACATTTGCCCACTTGGTCAGCATGACCAAATCACAGTGAAGCATCTCTGCATCCACCTCACAGTTTGGCCTCCCACCCAGCTTTGTGTCGTCTGCAAATTTTGTGATCTAACATTTACTTCCTCATCTAAACCAATAATATGTATAATGAATAGCTGAGGTCCAAGACCTATGATAGTCCTATGATACCCCACTAGTTACTGCCTGCCAGTTGGAAAAAGGCTCATTTATTGTTATTCTTTTCCTGTCTGTCAACCAGACCTCTATCCATGTTGGTACACTATACCCGATCCCATATGCTTTAATTTTACATGTTAATCTCTTCTGTGGGACTTATCAAGTACCTTCTGAAATTCCAAGTAAGCCATATCCACTGGCTCCCCCTTATCAACTTTACTTGTTACATCCTCAAAATATCCTTGTTGATTTGTCAAGCATGATTTCCCTTTTGTAAATCCATGCTGACTCTTTCTGACCCTGTCACTGCTCTGCTATTTAATCTTTTAGAGCAGCCTCGATCATTTTCATTACTACTGATGTCACGCGAACTGGTCTATAATTCCCTGTATTCTTTCTACCTCCTTTTTTAAATAATGGGGTTACATCAACTACCCTCCAAACCATAGGAACTGTTTCGGTGTCTATAGTGTCTTGAAAGATGACGACCAATGCATTTGCTATTTCTTGAGGATTCTCCGTAAATACTCTGTGATGTAGATTATCGAGCCCCAGCAATTTATTAGCATTTAATTTCACCAACACCCCCAACACCGTTTCACTACTAATACTGATTCCCTACAGTTCTTCCCTCTAACCAGAACCCTTATTACCCTACATTTTTAGAATAGTATTTGTGTCCGTCTTTGTGAAAACAGAACCAAAATATGTAATCAATTGATCTGCCATCTCTTTGTTTCCCATTATAACCCAGCCCCCACCCTGTTTCTGTCTGTAAGTGTCCTACATTTGTCTACACTAATCTTTTTTTCTTCACATGCCTATGAAAGCTTTTACTACCAGTTTGTCTGTACTCTGCAAGCTTACTCTCATAGAGATAGCAAGAATTGCAGATGCTGGAGTCAGAGACAGCAGTGTGGAGCTGGAGGAACACAGCAGGCCAGGCAGCATCAGAAGAGCAGGAAAGTTGACGTTTCAGATTCTTTTTCTGAAGAAGGGTCCCAACCTGAAACATTGACTTTCCTGCTCCTCTGATGCTGCCTGGCCTGCTGTGTTCCTCCAACTCTACACTGTGTTAGAGCTTACTCCCATTTTCTGTTTTACCTGTCTTAATCAATCGTTTTGTCTTCTGCTGAAATCTAAACTCTGGTCTGCTGCTTTATAATGTTCCTTTCCTTGGATCTTGTACTCTGCTTAATTTCCCTTGTTAGCCACCTTTCCTGTTTTATTATAGTTCTAGATAGGAATGAGTAATTATTGCAGTTCCGCCACGTGATCTTTAGATGTTTGCCATTGGCTATGCATCTTTGGAGTTTAACATTCCCCAATTTATCGTAGCCAGCTTGCATTTGGTACCATCATCATTTCCTTTTTAGAGTCAGAATCAACAATGTTACAGTACATCTTAATGAAGAATTCTATCATATTTTGGTCATTGTTCCCCAAGTGGTCTCGATCAGCCAGATTGCCAGTTATTGTTTTCTGATTACACAATGCCGAGCCTCGGATGTCCTGTACGCTATCAGGTTCCTCAACGAGGTTAATTAAGAAACCCATCCTGTACACTGTCCAGGAATTCCATCTCAATGGTTACTGATTTGATTTGCCCAATCTACGTACAGATTAAGGTTGCCAGTAATTACAATTGCACCTTTATTGCTTGTGCCTCTAATTTCCTGTTTAATGCTTTCTCCAGCATCACCACTACAGTTTGGGGGACTGTATACAAGCCCGGCTTTCTGCCCCTTGATGTTTCTGCGCTCTACCCATATAGATTCTACTTCACAGGAGCTAATATCTTTCTGAACTATTGCATTAATTGGCTCCTTAAACAACAATGCTGCCCCACCTCCTCCTCCTCATTGTACATCCTTCCTAAAAAACTGAGTACCCATAAATACTCAGTTCCCTTCCTGGTCACCCTGCAGCTACGTCTCCATAATCCTAACGATATCAAACCCATTTATCTATTTGACTAGAGATAGTAGGAA